TACTAAAAACATTTGGCAGATGTCATGGTGCCCACAGATCCCACGTTAGGGACCTGGGGATTTATATACTAATAGTGAAGTCAGCCAAAATTTAGGATACTTAAATCTGGTGACTAGAGCTGTGAATGGGTGACAGATCTCTCCACAAGTCCTTGAGAGTTCCCTACCACGTAAGTGGCCCTCACCCAGTAGCCAACACTACACAACTGGGCCGTAGTCTTTCTAGGTACAGTCTGCTGCAGGGCAAAGGGAAAGTGTAAGACTGGTTGGGTAGGAAGATAGGGTTGCCAGCTTCCAGGTGGGGCCTGGGGATCTCCTGCTTTTACAACTGATCTCCAGCTGACAGAGATCAGCTCTCCTGGAGAAAATGGCTGCTTTGAAGGTTGGACTCTATGGCATTGTACCATTCTGAGGCCCCTCCCCAAACCCCACCCTCTCCTGGATCCACCCCCAAAGTCTCCAGGTATTTTCCAACCCAGATCTGGCAACCCTGTGGGAAGGAGATAGGGTTGCCCACTTTTTAGGAAATTCCTATGGTTTCTCAGGGTTGGGGGTTGAAGAGAGAAGGTTCTTCAGAGAGGTACAATGCCATAAAACCCACTCTCCAAAGCAGCCATTTCCTCCAAGGGAACTAGTGTTGCTAACCTCCAGGTGGGGGCTGGAGATCACCCAGAATTACAACCGCTCTCCAGATGACACAGATCAGTTCTCCTGGTGAAAATGGCTGCTTTGGAGGGTGGACTCCATGACATTATACCCTGCTGAGGTTGCTTGCCTCCCCCAATCTCATCCTCCAAGGGTTCCACCCTCAAATCTCCACAAATTTTCCAACCTGAAGCTGGCAATCCTAAGGGGAAACTGATCTTTGTAGCTGGGAGCACTATTGTGATTGCAGATCTCCAGGTCCCACCTTGAGGTTGTCAACCCTAGAAGGAGAGGGAGGAGGAAAAGGGGAAAACCTAGGGGGGGGGCTTTCAGGAAAGGGAAGGAAAGAGAAAATAGTGGTGGGGGGGAGGAAATGAGATGTCTCCCACAAATTCTTGTGGGCTCCTGCTTGTAGCCAAGTCAGCCATATCTGAGGATAATTAAATCTGGTGATTGGAGCTGTAAATGGGTAAGACAGATTTTCCTACTAACCTGAAAAATGACCCAAGTTTGCAGAAAAATATGAAATCTTTTTTTTAAAGGGGGGGGGTTAAAGAACCCTAAATAGATAATAGGAGCACTTGTAGCTTGTAGAAACAGATTCCCTCAGAGGCCACTGATAGGCAACCACAGCTTTCCTGGCTTCGTGTATGTGAGCAAAAGGTGTGTGTGGGGGCTTTCCAGGGCTGTTTTGGCCTTTGAAGGAAGACTCATTGGGGCCAAGCTTAGCTAGAGTTGCTAGCTCCAGGTTGGGAAATCCCTGGAGATTTTTGGGTGGAGTCTGGGGAGGGTAGGGTATAGGAAGAGCTCCCAGCCAGGCACAGTGCCATAGAGTCCACCCTCCAAAGTAGCCATTTTTCCTCTAGGGGAACTGATCTCTGTCATCTGGAGATCAGTTGTAATACTAGAGGATCCTCAAGTCCTACCTGGAAGTTGGCAACCCTTGGCCTGGAAGCAATCTCTGGGTGACTTGAAACCATCCCAACTTTCATGACTCAACTAAGCCTATCTGCTTTCTACTGGTTAACAGCAGCCATCCTATGAAAGCCAGTGTGGTATAGCAGTTAGAACTTCAGAGTAGTTTCTGGAAGACCCAAGTCCAAATCCCCATCTTGCTATGAAAATTCACTGTGTGGTTTTGGGCCAGTTGAATGCTTTCAGCCTAACCTACTTCACAGGGTTGTTGTGAGGATAAAAAGGAGGAAAGGAAAATGATGTAAGCTATTTTGCTCCCCACTATGGAGAAAGGCAGGGTACAAATGAAGAAAATGAATAATAAATATAGCTGAAGATGGGAACAGATAAATGGTACGTTGGTGAATGGCTGAGAAGTAGAGAATAAGGCAGGGAAAGGAGAGAGGATATAGGAGTTGTCAGGAGGGGGGAAAGGAGAAATAGTGTGGGGAGGGAGACACAGGGGAAAGTGATGTGCCCTCTCACAAGTCCTTTAAGATGCCCTACCATGCAAGTGGGCCTCGCCCAATGGCTGGCACCACACAACTGAGCCAGTTTTCCTAGGTAGAGGCTGCTGGGTGGGGGAGGGAAAGCTGAAGACAGAGGGACAGATAAAAGAAGGTTGGCTGTTGAGTGGGAAGGAAAGAAGGAAGCAGGAAAATGGGAGAGGCTATGGAAGCTTTCAGGGAAGGGAGAGAGGAAATAGTGGGGGATGAGATGCCTCCTGCAAGTCCTTGTGGGTTACTGCATGTTCTGTCCTAACAGTATCCTCTTGTTCAGAATATAGGTTGCACATCGAAAAAATCAGATGTTGTGGGACACCCATTTATTTTAAAACCAACCATAGCTTTTCATGATCCACACAGTCAAAAGCTTTGTTGTAATCCGTGAAACACAAACTGATTTTCTTCTGAAATTCTCTCATTTGCTCCAGTAATTGATGTAAATCTGCAATATGATCTCTAGTGCCTCTTCCTTTTCTGAATCCAGCTTGAACATCTGGCATTTCTCTGCCCATACATGATAACGGCCTTTTTGGTAAGATTTTGAGCATCACTTTATTTGGGCTTCTTGCTTATATGTCTTTAAAAGGGAACTGGCCAAATTAATGGATGGCAGGGTCTGTCAATGGCCACTATGACTAAATGTAACCTCCATGTTCAGAAGCAGTATATCTCTGAATGCTAGCTGCTTGGAGCAACAGCATCTGGTTGAGAACTGTGGAAAAGAAGATAGCAGACTAGATGGACCATTGGACTGATTCAGCAAGACTCCTCTTATGAGAGATGGGAATGCTCATTTTCACCCTTTTCTCCACACAAGCCTTAACTCAGCTGCTTCTGCCCCACTGACAAGAAGGAAAACCATTTTGAATCTACCCGTATCATAAAAACAGGCACCTCTATACTGTGAATGTGAGTAGAGGAGAGAACTGTCACAAAATGGTTTTTTACAGGCATTATTACTTGCCATGTCAAAAAAGATCCTTTTTCTTCTGGCTGGTGTCAAAGATGAGGCTCACACAATGCATGGTTTTCTAGCTGTGGCAGGGAGGTGGGAAAAAAACGGAACTTATCCTCCATGGTGGTCAATAGACTTAACTGTGTTTTACTTTTCATCTTTTCCCTTTCATAGCTACCAGAGGTCTTTCCATCAAAACGCTCTCTCTTTTGAGTAACACGTCAATAGCTGTCAGATTAACCTGGGCCCCAAACTGGAAAAGTACAACAGTCCCATTGCTAGAAACCTGGTTCAATAATGCCAAGATCTTGGTAGAAGTAAGATGACATAGTCTCTCAGCATTTCAGAGAGGGGAAGGCTTCGAGAATCTCTTTTTAAGGTGGTTGCTGTGATTTGGGGTACTTATGAATGGAGCTGGTATGCTTCACTACTGCCGTTTGCTTTCTCTCCCACAGAGAAGAACAAAGCCAATTTCAGTCTTAACAGGCTTTATTGCTACAGGAAGTTGCTACTGTACAAAAATAGAGTTTATCCAAATGCAAATCAAGGGTGGAGAATATAAAACCAGGAAAAGAGGAAGAGGAAATGCCTCTACTCAGGCCAAGTGGGGAAAATGGAACTGGAATTGCTGGTCACAGGCCCAGGCCATAACTTCAGCACTGGCTTGAAATGGTACGCCAGACCTTGTTCTCAGCATCATAAATAGGTGCCACTAGGGGTGGAGAGGGGTGCAAACAAATAAATAAATAAGTTAGAGAATAAATAACCTTGTTCAGAAAGCATCTACTTCTGGGGCAGGGAGGGGTTGATCCACAGAAGCCCCCACCCTACTGGCACCAGGTGAAAGCTGACCCAGGGTATGGCATGGTCTCTTGTTGGGCCCAGTGTATGCCTGGTCCAGTGACCAAACTCCAAGCTGCTGGCAGTGGTGTGTGCGTGAGGGCATGCTGTAAATCAGGATGTTATCACTATTAAAGGCTTGACAGGACAAGCCCTTTAAGCTAGCTGCAGATGTTGTAACTGCTTGGAAAGCACAGGCTTCACCAGTTGTGCTTCGTGGCCCCACCACATGATTTAGACCCCTAGCCTCTGCCTGTCAAGGGTGTATTCTTCTCACCAGGCCAAGCTCCTCAATCAGACCAGAGACTCCAAGAACAGAGACTGTTCCAAAAGCAAATCAGGAAATTACCCAAATCTGCCCTTGTTAAGTGTGCTGGTTATCCTATCTCAGGAACGGCAGAGGGTGGTGACTTGCAGGGCACAGATAGTCACAATCGACTCTGAAGCTTCTACACAGGGTTGAAAACCTGTCCTCTAGGTCCAATGTTACCTGGCGGTGCTGGACCAAATCATTGGGGCAAAGACACATTGTGAGCTGAAATAAAGGGAGCGCTGGTGATGATGGGAATATGGACCTCGCAGCTGATGGGGCTAGGGGACCTTAATAAGGAGCCTCCTCACCTGGGGAAGGATATGGAAGGACACCTGAGAAGGAGCTCATTAGCACCACAAGCCTCACAGGCTCTCTCTTGATCCCTCATCCCTCCAACGAGGTTTGGGAAATTCCAACACTGCATCTTTGCTGTCTGTCTGAGTAGATTCAAAATGCTGTTGACAGACCGAGCCCTGAAGCAGACAGATCCACCCAGAGTAGGACCCCAGCCATTGTGGGGCTGAGCTGGCCCAAGTCTTGCAAGGCTACCATCTTGTTGCTGGTGCCTTGTAAAGATGCCCCACAAGGATGCAGGTGCAGCCCCAGCCACATCTGAGCCCTCCGGTTTATTCTTCTCTTGTAGTTTCTGCCTGTCATCGGAAGCCCCAGTATGCACCACACTTCTCCTCATCCCATGCCCCATAGACAGGGCAGGCTCTTGGCACTGCTGCAATCTGGGGACTAACACCTGTCAAGTAGATGACTCTGTGAGCTCCAAGCAGGCAGGCAGTCCCTTCAGCCCACACACTTGCATTCTGCTGCTGAAAGGTTGTCCACAGTATGCCAGGCATTCTGCACATCCATGAAGGACACAACTTCATATCGGACAGGGCGGCAGCAGGGATTGGAGGAGAGATGCTTGTTACGCATGAGGAGGTCTATCTGTACCAGGTTTTGCAAGGTCAGGTCGTAGTTTGTGCGGGCCGACTCACATGACCCAGCGCAGTAGCTGAACCGTACAATCTCCTCCGACTGAAAGCCAAGCCCCAGATCCTGCACCTTCACTGTGAGGCTGTGCAGGCGGCAGTGGCGGTTCTTACGCCTTTCTTTGCTGGAGCCTTTCTTGGGTTTACTGGAACCTGATGGGGAACGCTCGGCCCTGAGCAGTTCTGAGGAATTCAGCCCTTGCAATGTCATGTTGTCCCCTGGTGGAAAGAAAAGGGAGGTAAATCACAAAGAAGTTTCCCTTTCTCTGACTCTCAAGAAGCAGGACAGGTGTCTGTCCCTATAAAACAAGGAAGAGGCATAAGGCTTGCACGGGGCATACAGCCGTCTCATCAGCCCCCTTGCTTCCCAAAAGGATTGCGTACCTTCCCCCGGGTGGGGCAAATTCAAGGAAAAGCAAAGCACCACACCAGAGTACGTGGAATCTGGAAACAGTTTATTGTGCCATCCTAAGCAAGAGTTACCCCCTAATAAATCAACTGAAGTCTTCAAAGGGTGTAACTCTGCTTTGGATGGCACTGTAAATGAATGAGAAGGGAAAGGATCCTTGGACTGTGGAGAAAGCTTAGAACCCATGTGCCACCAAAGTTCCCAGCCTACTTCCTTGGGGGTTCTTACCATGCCAATGGCCCCATGCAGCCAGAGATGGCGCTTCCTTGCTGTTCTCCTCCAGTGAGGTTGAGCTGGCTGTGTCCACATTTTCATAGGAGGCTGCTCCCAACATCTGGTTGTGATGCCAAGTCTGTGGAGTTGCAGTAATTGCCCCAGCAAATAGGGACAGCAGGGTGATTGCCCTCCACAAACCCTGTTCCTAGGAAAGAAATGAGGGCAGATTCCAGTAAACAGGCACATGGCTAGTCTAGCACAGAAAGTTGAAAGGGTCCTCCTGTAGGTGAGAGCAGGGAGAGGTGGGAATACTCCATGTGGAAGCCTCAAAGGCACTTTGTACATGATGAGCTGCCTATGCTGACATCACTTTTGCATAGGAAAATGGACATCTGCCTCATAGTGATGAGAATGTGTAGGGTTCCATTTCAATGAGAAACTGCAGCCATAGACACATGCAGAAAAATAGAGAAATGCAAGACAACTTACGTATCATATGTGAGTTTTGGCTTATACAGAAGTAATAGTAAGACACTTGTCATGGCTCTGTGAGTCACGGCTCCCATCTTGGGGAGAGGCTTACTAAATAGAAAGAAAGTGGTCAAGGGGAAGGCAAAGGAATAAACCCTCCCATCTTTCATGCGCTAGACAGCTATGGGATCATGAATGATCTGGAACCAGGGGGGAGAAGTGTGGTAGCCAAATTTGCAGATGACACAAAATTATTCAGGATGATGAAAACCAAGGCTGACAGTGAAGAGCTCCAAGAGGACCTTGGCAAAATGAAGTTCATTGTTGGTATGTGTCAGGTAACGCACACTGGAACAAAAAAAATAATAATCCCAACTTCAAGTATAGGCAAATGGGGTCTGAACTCACTGAGACTGAGAGGGAGAGACCTTGAGGACATAGAGGACAGCTCAATGAAAATGCCATCTCAGTTTGCTGCCCCTGTTAAAAAGGCAAACACTATACTGGGAATTATTAGGACACGGATTGAAAATATAACAGCCAATATTATAATTCCCCTGTAGAGATCTATGATGTAGCCTTGTTTGGAATAGTGCGTCACCATATCTCAAAAAGGATATCATAAAGCTGGAAAAAGTACAGAAGAGGGCAACCAACATGGTCAGGGGGCTGAAGAGTGTAGAACCTTGCAGTTTAGAAAAGAGATGACTAAAAGGGGACAAAATTATGCATGGAGTAAAGAGAGTCTCCCTCTCCCAAAATACTAGAACTCAAGGGCATCAAATGAAGTTGATGGGCAGTAGATTCAGGATGGACAAAAGGAAATATTTCTTTACTCAAGGGGTGAGTAAAATGTTAAATTCACTGCCGGAGGATGTAATGATGGCCATGGACATAGACAACTTTAAAAGGGGATTAGTGGCTACTATCCATAGTGACTAAAGGAAACCTCCATCTTCAGAGGCAGTAAACCTCTGGATCCCAGTGCCAGGAGTCAACAACAGGTGAAGGCCTCAGCCTCTATGCCCTGTTGTTGGCCCTCCAGAGGAACTGTTTGGCTACTGTATGAGACAGGATGCTGGACTAGATGGACCACTGGCATGATCCAGGAGGCTCTTATGTTTTTATCATTCCCTATATAAAACTGTCCATTATTTCTGGTAGGTGATGATGTGAGATGGACAATGTTCTGTAACAGAAAATGTTCCTCCACTATATTTTCTGTGGATAAACTGACATTTGCAATAATGCATTGTTTAATTGCTAACTTAGTGAATTAATATACTAGTCAAAATGGACAACTTTAAAGTTGTAATTAACTTCTTTCAGGAAGCGTATTTTTACACACATAGCACACATTTAAATAGCTTTTATTGCTTTTATACTACTACACACATAGCACATTTAAGTTGCATTAGGTTTGCTTTATTAATTATTTTCCCAAATCAAATATTTCTGTTTGGCTACTCAGGACAATTAGAATGTAAATTAACACGACAAACTTGATGAGTTTTATTTACTAAGTATGCATCAAATAAATGTCGATCAGATAGCAGTCACTTTGCATGGGGAATTTGTTTGCAGAAATATTTCCTATTCAAAATTTGCTCCCATGCTGAGAACAGTCCTTGGTGAGGCTAACTCACCCTGTATTGCACCTGCTGGGTAGGCAAACTCCTGTAGGCAGAGGGAGACCTGTCTGAGCTGTGCCTTGGCCCCTCTGATCTCCACTCCATTCTACCTGCAACACAAAGAACAATTTAAGGAACTGGCCCTTGCCTCTCTAGCTGGACTGCCTTGGCCTCTGCTCTTCAAGCCTATGGCACCAACCATCATTTATGCCCAGCTTTGCACCTCTAAGTACCCTCTCTCACATTGCAACCTACTCTGAGTAAATAAGTCTCTCCAGCTGAATAAAAGCAATCCACAGCACTCTTGCACAATGCAAAATGTTCAGGGTATTTGGAGTCTAACATGGGGTCCATCTAGCAGCACCCTTGGGATGTGCCTGTGATAGAAATAGATGCTTTGTGAGAGGAGATGTTGGCTCTGTCCTAGCAATGTTTCTCCACTGTCAATGAGAATTTGAAATGAGTGGTTTTCTTGGCATTGATCAAGGCTAACAACATCCAGAATAAGCAGCTATCTTGTGAATACTGAAAGAAGTGCAAAATTGGAGAATCACTGTAACCATGTCAAGGGAGTAACTGGGCACCTTTCCAGTATTAGAGCAATGAGAGTCCCTGACCACCTCCATCTCAAAAGGATCCAGCTTGTAGAGTGATGAGCCTGGAGATTTTGGGATAGGTCATACTTCAGACCCTGGAAGGTGAGTTGTTTCCAAGATGAAGCACTTATGAGAACTGGTACCTCCACATGGGAGCTGCTCATATGGTTACCATGCCTTACAGGATCATAGCAACCTTTCTGTTCTTGCAGATAGTTTTGTGGCCATTAAAGTCAAAATCCATAACATCTCCCAGCCTCAGCTCCACTTCTCTATCCACACTTTCTGAACAAGCCTCTTCACCTGCTGTTTCCCTTTCCACTGTACACATACAACAGTTCTTTTCATCCTTCCATATTTACATTAATGCCTTCTTCTGTATCCTGTCCACCAACCCCCCCCCCATTATAAAACCAGCTTATCTGTTGCCACCCCATCTTGTGACCTGCAACCGCATGGAGCCGTTCCCCAGGATCATTATTAGTCACAGTCAAAACATTCTGAAAAGGCTTGATGCGTGATGGTGAGGCTGGCAGTGATGATCCACATAAGAGACATAAGTAAACCCTTGTAATGTCTGAAGAGCCTCCCTTACCAAATTGCCAGCACTGCCCCCCCCCCCCGATCCTGTTTCACTTTCAGTCCACCTGGATCTTCTGGCTGGACAAGGTGCATCTGCTTACATAGGGGATCATCTGGGGTCTCTTTAGAGCTTTTTAGAGGTGTGCTTTCTCAAATTCCCACATGGTGGCAGTACGGGACCAGAGTTCTGCTTCTCTCAACCTGACGCATTTCACATGTAAGGGAGATCCACCACCCTACCCTAACAGACAGAAAGAAATCCAAAGTCACAAGAACCCTGAGGACAGATGTGGGGAAAACTGAGGCCTCCCACTGAAAGGACACCACAGTCCTCCTTGGACTCTGTTGACCATGTCTGTCCTTGGTCCACTAGTCACATACAGAGACAGAAACACCTTCAGAATATGAATCAGATTCTCCTCCCCACTCCCTCCAAAAGATACTACTGAATTCCAGAGTTCAGAGATCTATTTACTTTTCATTCTATGTCATCCATGCAACAGTATGCATAACTATCACTGTACTCTGGGGCACAGAAGAAATTTGCAAGCCCAATCCAATACAGTACAAAGTATCAAAGCATAATATTGGGCTTCTGAGAGTCACCAGCTTCTAGAAAGAATCCCGGAGGCATCAGACATTTCCCGCTATGCTCCAAACCTTGGGTGGAAAGGGTATGCCTTCCCTAACTACTAAGGGAAAGCCTCTTTGCCTGATATTTCCAGGTGGGTAGCCTGCAATACAAGAGCAAGATTCGAGTCCAGTAACACCCTAAAGACCCCCAAGGTTTTCAGAGGATATGCTTTTGAGAGTCAAAGTTCTCTTTATCAAATATCTATCTGATGAAGGGAGAGCTTTGACTCTTGGAAGCTTATACCCTGGGAAATCCTGTTGGTCTTTAAGGTGCTACTGGACTCGAATCTGGCTCTTTGCCTGGATGTAATATGTAAACATCAGTGCAATTATCAGAGACCTGAATCGGAGCTGGAGAAAGAGGCCACCTCTGTTCCCAGGCTGAAAACTTCCACTCAGGCCCAGGATCAGAGTCAGCCGGTCAACCCTGCCTTCATGCAGACTCCCACCAGGCATACGCTGGTGTGCATGGCCAAGGTGGTGCCAATGGCAGTTTCTCTGGATACCCAGCTGTCTCATTTTTAAGAGGCAAGATGCGGGGTGAGCTGCAGACACAGATCAGGGAGGGATTTTTGGGACAGGCTTCATGAGAGCCAAGGAAACAGCTGAAGCACACAAGATCCCCCCAAACCTCTTGACAGGGAATTTGGCAAACACACCAAGGAAAGGGCAA